GATGACAGGTTTTGGCAGGGGTGGTGCAGGAGGTGGTGGGGTAAGCAAAAGTATGGGGTCTGGCTGCAGTGAGTCAAGCTTGCTGCCAGTGGCCATGCTCACTGAGGCCAAAAGACCCAAATTCCAGTGCCCTCTGGTAGCCTAGTAGGCTGGATGGAGAAGGTTCATGGATCAAATTAGTTGGTGGGCTGTATGTTTAATAACCTTGCCTTAACCATTTCACACAACTGGAAAGTGCCCCTATAAGCAATACAGGCCCAGAAATAGAACACCGGGGATTCTGTATGTGCTCACTTCTATACTGTACCTAGCATTTGGAATGAATGATCAGTTGCTAATGCATGAGCTATTTAGCTTATGGATAGATACTAAAAAAATATGATTTGGTACATTAATGGCATTTGTTCATCAGCGAGTGATGGTGGATATTGCAGCTATTCTATTGGTTGGTGGTGCATTTTCTTTTTGGCTGTAAAGACCAATATTAGACTTGCAGGTCCAACCACAGTGGTTACAGGTGTACATAGAGTTAGGGGCTACTGTACTGACAGGCTGTTTTCTTCGGTTGTGTTTCTGTTGTAATTCGAGTGACCATTCCTCGTGATGTTGGACGCCATGATTAAGGGAATACCGCTTTGTCCTGTCTCCTGCTAAGGCCTCTCAAAGGTTTGCGTTGATTCCAGAAGCCTTCATATCCTGCTTTCAGGTGCCTTTGAAACAATTTCAGGCATCCTACTCTTCTCTCCCCACCTGCAATTTACCCATATACGATGTTCTTTGGGATGTGCCCATCTTCCATCCTAAAGAAATGGTCAAGCCAGTGTAGGTGCTGCTGTTTAAGTAGTGCAGTGTGATGGTTGGCAGGTTGACTTTAGCAGTGGCTTCTATGTTGGTGATTGTGTCTTGCCACTTGATGTTAAGGATGTGCTGTAAGCAACATAGGTGGAAGCTGTCCAGCTTCTTTTCCTGATATGCATATGTTGACCATGTCTTACTGGTATACATAAGGACATGGAGGACGCAGGCTTTGTACATAAACAGCTTAGTTTTGATTATAAGTTTTGGGTTGTTCCAGACTCATTTGAAGAGCCTTTCCAATGCTTACATTTAGCTCTTCATCCAGTTACTGGTTGTCACTCACTGTGGATCCAAGTTAGCAGAAATTGTTCACTGCCTTGAGAGGTGTGTCATCGAGGCTGATGATGACTGGCAAACACCCTGTCCTAGGACAGGGTGTTTAAAGTGCAACCTTTTAAAGTGCTGCTTTCTTTGTTGTTTTTTTGACATCCTGGAGTAAGATTGCTAATGCATTTGAGAGTATTTTGTGCCTGATTAATTTTGTGGACTGCATTGGCTAAAGGCAATTTTCTTTTTGCCAGATCAATTTACATGTAGTTCTCCGCTTACTAAGAACCCTGATGAGCTGCTGAGGTAAGCACCATTTGACTGATAGTTCTGGAAAGGGGCAACAGAGCCAAAAATACTGGACTTTGACATTGAGGGATTCAGTGACTTCTCCTCAGATTGGAAATGTGATAGAAGCTCTTTGACCAAAAACCAAGCAGCAACCCCCTCCCCTGGGACAGCGTACAAGGACAGAGCTGATTGCTGGTAGCTTTTAGTACTGACAAATGTTTGCTGCTGGGTGGTGGGTATATGCAGGTAACGTCACAGCTCCACACGCGTCTCAACTCTCATTTGTGAAAAAGGAAGTTTTACAAACTCTGACAATGCACTGGAGAAAAACATCCTTGGTTTTGCCTATGCCTTCTGAGAGGCAAGTGGCCAAGTTAGCATCATTAAAATATAAAAAGCAATCCTTTGAAATACTTCTTTAGTTTGTGCATTTCATAAGGTGGGTGACTTGGGGCATGCGGCAATGGGTACAATATAGAGGTGGTGAGCAAGGTGTTGCATAACTACTTTCCATGACTTCTACCCTTAGCTAAAGCCAGTCAGATCTTAGCAAAGCCAACATCCTCTCAACTGAATGAAATGGCCACCTTCCAGGAAACCTTCCTCCACCACTTTTCATAAAACAAATGTAGCTGGTCAGTTACTGGACTGGTACTCGGATTCTTCTGGATCTATCACTGGCCAGATATATCTCTGGGAATTCTCCCCGGACATCTGGTGGAACATCTTGTGTGGCAGGCTGCTCAGAGCTAACCACAGATGGAGGTGCTGTAGTCACAGCCACATCCTGGGAGCCCTCCACAAACCTATTCCTTGCTGTAAAGGAACCCCCTTTTAGAGGAAGGGGATTGGGCGAGGTGGGTAGGGTCAGTGCTGGCAAGTGCCTCGCTTTGCTGTGTCACCAAGGCACAACATGGGAGCATTGCCAGGTGTCTGGGCCTTTGGGCAGCACTGTCTGAGGTGTTGGGTGTACTCCTGATACTCATCTTGACCCCATGAATGCCTGGGTGAGCACTGCAATGGGAACTAGTCGTCTTACTAGGGCTGGAAGTGTGGAACTTAGAGTGCCCCCACCAAATGCACTCAAGGTGTGTAAGTGCTCCCTCGGTTGCTGTGCAGCAGAAGCAAACCGTATTTCTGGCAGGGGGGAGGTGGCAGTATAGAGCTGGTCAGGCTGTGCTGTCTGTGTGTGACAATCCAGGAGGAAAATGGGTTATTAAATATCGAACAGAACAACCAAGTGCCATCTGGAAAGCAGATTGGTAAGAACACGCAGGAACAATGTCCGTAGATGACTGGCTGCAGAGCCAGACACCTGGGGCAGTGGAAGGCATGGGAGCAGTGGTGACTTCTGGTGCTATTGTGCTGCTAAAGTGGCAGCTGATACTTTCAGAGAAAAAGGGTGACATCAACAAGAATGTGAGTCTGAATGTGCAGATATCCTGAAGTGCAGAAATACTCAAAGCTGTCTTAGCACACTGCTTTGGGCTGTCTGATACAGCCAACTAGCTGTATGCTTTGACCATGAGGGATAGTGGGGGTTATTGTTAATGCCCATGTTGTATCTGAAATTGACCTGCATCTAAAAAGTTTCCCAGCTGGCTCAATCTTCCTTCAAGCTGATGTTACAAGCATCACAATTCCTTGCGAAGAAGAATCTGGGAACCTGTAAGAACAGCTAGAAACTAAGCCAGACAACTTGTTAGCTCTAGAGACCATGGCAGTGTAAGGGGATATGAACAGAAGATAGTTATGCTTAGCCAAAGGTGTGAATTTAGATAGATCTAATTAAACCATGGATGCATCATTTTCGACCTGGAAGGATGTGGGCAGTGGAGTCCACCAGGGCTCGGTCCTCGGGCCTGCACTGTCCAACATCTTTATCAGCAACTTGGATGAGGGGGTGAAAAGCACCTTGTTCAAATTTGTGGATGACACTAAGATGTGGGGAGAGGTGGGCACGCTAGAAGGGAGGGACAGGTTACGGATGGGCGGATGAGAATAGGATGGGATTCAGTACTGATGAGTGCAGGGTACTGCACCTAGGGAGGAAGAACCAGCAGCATACCTACAGGCTGGGGAACTCCCTCCTCGTCAGCACAGAGGCAGAAAAGGATCTTGGAGTCATTAATGATTCCAGGATGAATATGAGCTGCCAATGTGAGGATGCGGTCAGTAGGCCAACCGCCCCTTGTCATGCATCCACAAATGCATCTCAAGCAGGTCCAAGCAGGTGATCCTCCCCCTCTATGCGACACTGGTCAGGCCGCAGCTGGAGTACTGCATCCAGTTCTGGGCGCCGCACTTCAGGAGAGATGAGGACAGTATTGAGAGGGTCCAGAGGAAGGCCACTTGCATGGCCAGGGGGCAGCAGGGCAGGCCCTACAAAGAGAGGCTATGGGACCTGAACCTGTTCAGCCTCCACAAGAGAAGGCTGAGGGGTGATCTGGTGGTCATCTATAAACTTACTGGGGGGACCAGCGGGTAATGGGAGAGGGCCTCCTCCCCCGAGCACTACCAGGAGTAACTAGGAATAATGGCTCAAGTTGATCAAGAGTAGGTTCAGGCTAGACATCAAGGAGGCACTACTTCACTGTCAGGGCAGCTAGGATCTGAAACCAACTTCCAAGAGAAGTGGTGCTTCCTTCTACCCTGGGGGTCTTTAAGAGGAGGTTAGATGAACACCTTGCTGGGGTCATTTGACCCCAGTACTCTTTCCTGCCGTGGCAGGGGGTCAGACTTGATGATCCGCTCAGGCCCCTTCTGACCCTACCAACTATGAAACTCCAGGTGGATCTTTTTTATTTTCTTACCATGATTTGACTGGGGGAAGGTTCCAATTAAATTGGGGGAAGTAACTTTTAAACTTGAAACACGTGTCTGCAGAGGGCTGTGTTGCATTAGTTTAAAAATACAGCTCCTCTGAAGTTTGTCTATACAGAAAGTCACATCAGGCCCAAGTGAAAATCAGCTGCCTTTTAAGACTCGCCATTCTGGAGGAAAATCTCAAATGGAAGAAAACTGAGCAACAAGAAGAGTAGCTGGAAGGAACAGACTGTGTGAGAGAGAGATAAGAGGATGGTACAGAAAATGAAGGGCCTGACTGACAGCTCTTTGACTGAAAGCTACTTCCTGTTTCATCACCCTGTGACCAAAATTATAGGAGTGTTTGTAGAGGACTTGGGCTGGCCCCGTGGAGGTGAAATCAGAGCTGGATTCCATGAATGGGGTCTGGGTAGTGGAAGAGCTCAGGTATACTGCTGCATTGCTCCTTTTTCCTCTGACTGTCCCTGCCAGGTAGAGTGCTCCTTTCCCATGGCTGGCAGGCCTGTGAGTAATTTGATTAGTCTGTGAGCTCTAACAGAACAGACTTTTGGTAACAGGTGCCCTGGCAGCCAGCACAGCTTAAAAAAGCTCTAAGGCTGGGTCCTGGCCAGGAAAAATTGGATTCAGCAAGATAGGATGGCAAAGCTGCCTTTACGTATACAACTCCCACTCTGTCCACTGGACACCCCGTGGCTTTGCACTTGAGGTCTGGGGCATCTGCAAGCTACAAGTTCTTTTTTCACTGAAGGAGTAAAAGGAAAGCGAGCAATAACGATCTTGCCTAGGGAAGCACACTGAGGTGGTGATCAGTAATAGGAATGAAGTGAATATAACATAAGCTTAAAGCAGGGCTACCCATTTGGCAGCTCCCAGGCCACGTGCAGCGTTCAGGCTCTCACTCAACTGCCACTCGCTCTATTGCTCTGCCTACAGCGGCTTGGCACTCCCCTTCCCTTCCCTTCTCTGCTTTCTGTTTCTTGCCCCCTTCAGGAGATGGAGCAGCACAGCACAGCACCAGGGCACCTGCAGTTGGGGTGCTGAGGGCTAGGACAGGGAAAGGCACATGCACATGGCACAGTGAAGGGGGGGTGGGGTTCGCACAGGTCCTTCATTTCCTGTAGTGAAGTGGGGACCCACTGCCTTTGCTGGTGCAGACCCCAGCTGCTTAGACGTTAGACAGCACTGGTCTAAAGAAACAGAGGTGTGTTGATTTTAATCTTCACAAAGCTGTCTCCTTCCGGCCAGAACAGGACACATGTTGAGATTATATCCGCGAGTATTATTTGTTGAAAGAGAAGGCTGGCTTTACTTATTTCAAAAGCACCTGGTCCTACAAATCCTTGTACCTGGGAGTAGTCCCTTCAGTCCTTCATTCACATAGTCCCACTGGCTTTAGTTCCTACTTACAAGAGCGAGAACATCTGTCCCTAGGGGCAAATGTTGTACTAGTTATACTAGTGTGTTGTATTGTTTAACTATACCTAGACAAGAAGGGGAACAGCATGTGTGAGTCACCTGTAGGCCCATATGAGGGGTTCTACTGGTGTACTTACTGGTAAAACATTACCTAACCCAGGTACAGGTAAAACTTTCCAGATTAGACCAGACAGATCAGACAGAGCCAAGGAGGATGGACAGTCAGGGACAGCCCAGAAAAAGGAATGATGGGTTGATTATTTTTGGTCCATTTCTGGGCACTACAAATTCAAGGTTTTATTTTGGACTGAATTGGTGAAAACAAGGCAAATATAGCAGGAGCAACCTGACAAGTGTGTGGGGGAGCAGGATGACTTGGAGGCTTCACATTGCATCAAAGACTGGACCTAACTCAATGCCAGGGGAGAAAGTGGGCTATAAGCCTGTCAGTGACAGGAAAGATATTTAGTGGCGACTAGGGCTGTTGGGGGGAGCCTTTCAAAAGCACTCACGGCTGGCCTACTTCCCCCGCTCACTGGAATCAACCAGAGTTTTGCCAGTGGTTTCCATGGAAACAGTCAAGTTAGCATAGAGAAGCAACCACAGTGCTTCTACCAACCCATCCCCAGGCAGGGAAAGTCCCTGCCTCTGTCACATTTGCCTAATGTTATTGTAGTTTGGAAGATCCTTCCACCATTTTTAGTGGATTTTGCTTAATGTACGGAGCACGTATTGCTGTTTGTTTGCTTTTGGGTGCTGAGCTGACTTTCCTCAAGATGCAGAGAACCTGAACCAAGTTGTGTGGTTGTACTCGTCTCCTGGCTGCAGCAGGACATCTGGGAAGTGGGGCTGTAGAAAAGAAAAATGCTGTATGTTAAGAGTTGTGATTTCACCTCCATTTGCTGAGAGCTATTATGGCTATGGTCAAGAACAGGGGTGTCCAATCTTTTTGAATGGGGGGCCAGATCATGAACTTTTTATTGCCCAGTGGGCTGACGAGCCATATTCAAACACCCTCTGTCCTGGGCCAGACAGACCCTGCCTGTGTAGTCCTGCCGCACCTGCCTGTTACTGCAAGGTTCATGGTAGCTACTGGTGGGCAGGAGGGACCCATTCTGCATCCAGCCAGCTACTGCCC